TCATTGTAACAGTCGCGGGTACACTGTGTGTGCGTGTGGGGAGTGTTGCAGTAGAAAATGGGAAACCCTTAATGTTTGAGCACCCTCTATGAAACGTCAAGCTACCCCACAGCACCCCCTAGAGAAAATCTCTGGTGCCGCCACTGGGTAGAGGTGGACAAACATGTCACTCTTATCAATGTCCCCCATGTTGGCATTGTAGGTCCGGATGACAGCTGGACAGCTCACCGGCTCCTTCGTCTCACTGCAGTACCTGATGACTGTTGACATCAGAGATACCGTTCTGTTGTCCTTCCACCTGACAGCCAGGATCCCATCATCACTCATGATGTAGTCAAATGTTCCACGAGGAACAGCCTTTTTCTCCATTTCCTTGATGGACTTGAGCGGGGGCTTTCCAATTCTATTGTCCCTGGCTGTCCCTGTATACCTGCAGTTCTGGTCTCGTGAAAAAATTATCCGCAAAGATGGCTGTGGTGCTGGGGGAGGACATGGTACTTGCCAGGACAGAGACAATCTGGCTGGTGGCACCCATGGCTTGTTGTTCAGGTGTCAGGGGGACACCGTGGGCCTCCAGAGTAGTCTTCCCCTGGTACAGCACCATGTCGTGGATGAAGCCATCCGCAGAGGCCCTGGAAAACAACTTAAAACCCCACTTGTCTAGCTTGGTCTTTATATACTGCCTCAGGTTGCCGACTGTCTTCCCTTTGTAGACAACCATCACCTCATCCACAGACTGTTTCGGGGTCTGCGGCTCACGCCTGAAGGCAGAATTGAGGAAGATGAACAGTGGCCAGATTTTGAAGAAGCGGTCAATGGAACCAGGAAGCTCAGTGTTGTCATTGAAATGGACAACCCTTTTCAGCAGCCTGAACCTCTTTGAGGACATCAGGTTGGCAACTTGAGGGACTCTGCTCTCCATGGCCCAGTAATCTTCAACAGCTGGGAGCTCTGAAATCCCCATATACATCAGGATGGACAGCAATGTCATTATCTCATTCTCATTGGTGGTGAAAGTGGTGTTAATGTCCTTTTGAGTGGCGTACAAATTAGTTTGGTAGGTGATATGAGTGACAATTTCGGGGACAAAGTACCTTGTGAAGTACTGAAAAGGGGTTTCAATGTAGTCGGGGAGAGTGCTGGTATTCCGGCAGTTCTGTGTTTTCCAGGTCAGCTTTGTGCCAGGTGGTTGGCCTTGCTGCCGACTTCCTGGGTTTGGTGGGCCTCTTGGCTTGTAGGGCTGGCTGCTCGTTGTCACCATCGTCGTCGTCATCGTCGTCATCGTCGTCATCGACCTGGAGCACTGCAGGTTGCATGCACCTCCTCTTGGCAGAGGGGCCCATGTCACTTGGGCCTGGAATGTCCAGATTGTGGGTGGGTGGGACAAAGTCAGGGTCTTCCACATCGTCATCTTCCTCCTTGTGCTGGCACAATGACAATATCCTTTCTCTTGGAATAAAACATCCGAGTGGACAGTTGCTAAAAAGTAAACACATGCAAAAAAACATAAAACAACTGTTATAAGGTCATAACACTGACAAAATAGATAAAATAGAATATCATATTCACTATTTATAGCTTGAAAATGTCTAGAAATTGGTTAAACTTTTCACTGAATCACTGTATAGTGTTATACAAACCTTTGGCAACATTATAATATAAAATCCTAAGTTGTATTGCCTTATTTGTTATTAAAATATACTATGTATCGCTTACTAGACGGATCGGGCGTATGTCCAAATATGGGCATATCATACTAACTCCAGTGTTTACCTGAACGGGGTGTATGATCAAATATGGTGCCCAAACTTTTCATGCCGTAATTTCACTAATTTCACTCACTTTTCCGCTAACAACACAAATGTCCTAACCTAGCACAACTATTCAACCATACAATGTGTGAGTTTCGTCAACTTACAATGGTTAGTTTTGTTGTTTCACAGAATTCCGTGAATGAACAGAGCCGCAAAATTGCCTTTTCCCGGATTCCGAGAAAACCGGAAGTTTGAAATGTTTCAGGCCTCTGCTGATTGGTCAAATTCCCCAATGGCGGGCTTTGTGGTGTAGAGTTATCTTCACTGATTGGCTGGGAGAAAACCATATGCTTCTCGACCTCACTGAGTCGTAGCAGTGACGCCATGTTTGGTGTGTGCGGAAGTGATCAAATATGGTTCCTCGCCCCATGTCGTTGTGTCCCTGGGCAAGACACTTCACCCCAAATTGCTCCGGTGGGGATTGTCCACAGTATTGAGTATGTAAGTCGCTTTGGATAAAAACGTCAACAGGTTAACAAATGCCCACTTTCTATAGGGTTGGGCGATGACTGAGGGTATTTTAATGGAGGGTGTGAAGCTGACCGTTGAGCGGCCCGACCAAGCAAGGAGGCAGAGAATTCAAATATAACCCAGTGTGGGCATTTATTCATCGCTGTGGTACAGGATACACAGCCTCAATATTGCTGCCCAGGTGAACACAGTCACCAGCCACAAGGATCTCACCCACACTACCAGCCTTCACCAAACAGGAAACACAGAGCCTAAATACACACCCACTAATCAGCAATTAGATACAGGTGAGGGGGGAGCAATTATACACAGGTGGGGGGGGGGGGGACGAAGTGCACCAGGGCACCAGGGCACCAGGTGACGAAGTTACCTTCGTCACATTTCTTCCTTCCTCTCCCGAAAGAGAACAGTACCTCATTCCTGCGACACTTATGGATCTTGGCCATTTTGCTCTCCTCCATGTGTCTCCACTCCGCTCGTCTCTTTCTTCTGGATCCTCTGTCTCTTCTTCAGACTCAGTTTCCTCCGGAGACGTTTCTTCTTTTGGCCCAACGCGAGCAGAGAGGCGTCTGCGTCTGTTGTCTCCGGCTCCTTTTCTGTCTCTGCATCGCCCCCTGCTGGTTGGTCCTCAGACTGCACCTCCTCCTGACCGTCCACCTTCTTCCCCTTTTCCCCCTTCTTCTTTGCCTCTGCTGTCGTTTCAGCTGGACTCACGAGACCCTCCTCGTCCACTGCATCCGGCTCCATTTTACTTTTCTTAACCTTCTTCTTCAATGGAGTGGCCTGAGGCATTTGTTGCTCTGCAGCCGGCTCTGCCTTTAGTATGTTCTCTTTTATCAGGGAAACCTGTTCCTGTATCCCTGAAAACGGTTGCTCCATGTTTCCCAAACGGCACTCCTCCCGCTTGAATCTGGCTGTCTCATACTGCATGTATGACTTCATAATCTCCCTCAGTTCCTCCATCGTTTTCACCTCCTCACTTGGTCAATCCCACTTCTGACACCAAATGTGAAGCTGACTGTTGAGCGGCCCGACCAAGCAAGGAGGCAGAGGCAGATCATTCAAATATAACCCGGTGTGGGCATTTATTCATCGCTGTGGTACAGGATACACAACCTCAATATTACTGCCCAGGTGAACACAGTCACCAGCCACAAGGATCTCACCCACACTACCAGCCTTCACCAAACAGGAAACACAGAGGAGTAACAGAAAGAACGGGAGGGGGAACACTTTTCAAAATAAAATACATGTGCAATATACAAGGCCCGAAGCCGTTAGTCCACAGCGACGAAGTTACCTTCGTCACAGAGGGATAGCCTCTCACGCCATAAAAATAAATATACTTCAGAGTGGGAAACTAATAATTAAAGAATTTCTAATAATTGATTGATATTCATGTAGAAACAACTTAATTTAGCCTCACTTGAAGGATGAAAAAGAGCCTCTGCTCCAGGATTCTGGTATCTTGGAAGGAGCCAGGATACCCAAAAAGGTGTTGATGAAGGCCCTTCCCATCAATTATTGCCTATGATGGAAAGAGCTTTCTGCCAAGGTAATCCTGGCACTTGGGTCCTTTTGGGAGTCTTTATGCAGACATGGCAGCCATCAATGGCATCCACATACCTGAAGAACAGGAGGCCGTGCAATGCTTTTGCCAACCTCATCCTGTGCTCCAGCGGTTGGCCGTGGGATGACGTCCTGGCAAAGGGATTCCATTTTCTTGGCTCGAGTTAGCACCAATCTGCAGATTGTAGGCACCATTCTGAAACCATTTTGTAAGATATGTTTTTTGGCAACCAGTAGACTGAGATCAGCAAACATACCTCATGTAACCAGCCGTGTTCTTTGATGGCAGAATCCTCAAGAGGGGCTCCATGGACTGTCATCCCAGCCTTCAGGTCCTTCTGACCATCCAATAACATCGCAAGGACTGGCATCAACATTTAGCATTGCATTGGGTTTTCAGTGTCCAAAGCCATCTACCAAATAAAGGAATTCTATGTTGAATTAACCAGTAGTAGTTGCGGGGAACCTGAAGTTGATGCTGTAAGTTTTCTTTCGGTAAAGTTTTAACGTGATAGGGGTGTGACGAATGAGGGAAGGACACATCATGACTAAAAGGACCCTATTAAAAAGCTATCATGGGTGTCTGCGTCATCGTCTTCAAAGGTAACCGTTTCTTCCTAGCCAGACTAGATGGCAAACCTTTAGTTAAAAAGGTTCCAAAACACCTGAATATTTTTCCATCGAAAAAGGTATTAATGTGGATGTAGCCACAGTTTGTGTTTATGTCTTTGTCATGTCAACCTTTGGCAGGTGCATATCACAGCCTTATCATGCAACACTTGGCCCTTGTGGAGGTTATATTTACTCTGTGCTGCCGTAAGCACCTTATTATGGGCTCTGGCCAGGAGCTGCATGTACCGGTGATTTGTAATAAGGGCAGCGATAAGGTGAGTCAGCAGCAACTGGCCTGATTACAGCAGCTGGACCTTAGGAGGCAAACCCTTCCCATCCCCAGTAAACAAAGACAGCAGGATAGGAAACACACTGATTTAATTTGTATCGTGGGTTTGAACAGAACCGTAAGGTAACATTTCAAGCATAGAAGGAATAGGGTTAGGGTTAGGTTAGTAATCAAAGGAATATAATATGTTTAGTGTAAGATGTTTTGAGAAGAGAAAACACAGAAGAGCCAGTTTGGTTCATAGGAATAGATCAATATTTTATATTCTTTTGTAGCAAAATGTTTTCACACAGGAACATGTTTTTTTCTTGTTTTTGTCCTAGAACCTCAGGTGAGAGTCATGACTATGTCAAGTCAAGTAAACACTTAAATTGTATTGTCAGTTAACATAGTGGCAGAGGATGTTACATGATGTCACAGGTAAAGAGAGCAGGTTAAAGGGTCAGTTACCCCAAATAAAAGAAAAAGGAATTTTCGTATTCATCTTTATAGGCATTTCATGCAGAAATGTTCGTTTCATTTACTCAAGTTTTGCATTTTTTTAAAAATGATTCTCTTTTCAGGATTTAGTCAAAATAAACTAAAGTTCCTGTAATTTTGGTAAAAAATAACATTTCCCCTGTTTGTGTCTTAGCAAACAAGCTCTGTGTCAGAGGACAACACATATTTCAAAAGGATTGGTTCATTGTTATATCGGTCTCTTTAAGATACATGGGAGAAATAATGCCAAACTTTTGTAATGGCACTGAAGAAAATACAACAAATAGTGCTATAAGCTCACACAGAGTTTATACCCCCATATGTATTAAATAGATGGCTTCTGTGGTATACGTGTTATGGTTACAACTCTGAAAACTGTCTGTTGGTATATAATGTTATTTTGCACACCAACTGCGTTATGGTGGAGGTAGACATTTCATAGTGGGATAATAAATCCTTGGCAAATAAACCAAGACATTTGAATGTATCTTTTACATTTTAGCTGACCCTTTAAATCAGCCAGTAGTTTAGATGTGACATCATGTAAAATCCTATTTCAGTGAGCCAACTAACAATGACCAAGTTGGTACACCACAGTAAAGCACCTTCTCACTGTTTGCTTCACATGAAAATAAAAGTACTACTGCACAATTCCCCCCCCCCCTTTACATTCTCACCCAGTTTTTGTACAACAAAAATGCCAATATACAGAACAGTACACCTAGGATGAAAATAATACAAAAATTATGACCACCCGACATTTTTTAAATGCAGCAGAAACCCACAATATATCGAGAAAGGCATCAAAATGTGTAGGGATGTCTTGGCAGTAATCCCAATAGCCACTAATTCAAAGAATTGTACTGCAATGTACAGCTCCGAATGAAAGACGGTAAAAGATGAATGGTTCTTTTGATGAATCAATTCACATAATACAAAAACCAACTGTGGTTCTGTATCACGCAATCTTGTGAGATATATTTCAAGCTAGTTTCCAGCTGTTTGGCCCTTTTTTTAAATATATCTTTCTCCCATTGTCTCTGCTTAACATCCTCCCTTGAGCAGCATAATGACCTTTATCAAACTAATAAAAGTCAATTTGGACTCATTCAAATGCTGAGGAATTACATCAAATAATAAACAGTAAAAATTGTAGAAAAACCAAGATGAAAATAAAAATGACTTTGTTTTAATGTTCTATTCGCTCTTCCAGTCTTTCTCGCTACTGTCGCAGCAGTCCCATTGTCTGTTGCAGTAGTTCCATTTCGTGCTGAGGGTCCAAGACATTGTGACGCACATTCAGTTCACCACAGCCGAGGCAAATCCTCTTGGCATTCAGTTTTTCGATAAAGACTTAGTAAATCCACTCAGAATTGATCATCCTTTTTCCCCCTCTTTCTCTATGAGACACTTTCATATGCCTTGTGGTTGGGACATTATTCCCACTGCACAATCCAGGAATCAGTGTTGTTTTGACATGGGAACAGTATTGAAATACAGTTAGACACTTTCAGAGATTTGAGATCATGGCCAGTAATCTATGGATTTGAGTGTCTTTTCTCACATAATTTAGACAGTATTCACATGGATGAACTTCATGCAATACTCAAATGCAGATTCCCATTTGCAACACCTTGCCAAAATACTCATGTCCCTTTTAGCTCCTGATATAGATTTATTGGCCATGAACCTCATAGTAAGACCCACTCAAACTGTGCTTTCCATCACCCACTCCGCGCTTTCGAAAGCAGGTTTCTCGTCCTCACTGTCATCGTACTGCAGCAGCATGCCGTTGACAGACAGACTGCGCTTAGTCCAGATGTTACTGATTCTGCGAGGGTGGCTGCCGCGACATTGTGAAGCCCCCACGTGACCCATGTCAAACGAGTGGCTCCTCCTGGGCTTACCCTCTTGGGGCATCCCTAACAGACGTCCCAGCATGGTGGTTGACTCGGCCCTACCGAGCAGGGGTTGTTTGTCAGACGGGGGTACCATTGCTACCGTGATCATAGCATTGGAAGAGGTAGTGGGGCCAGAAGCCCGGTGGTGGTCCCTTGCTACCCCTCGCAGCTCCAGTGAGGTGAAGGCCCCTAAAAGGTGGTCCAGGTTTGGCCGTGCTTTGGTGCCATGCCTCCTGAACTTGCTGCTGGGCAAGGTACTGCATTCACTGCTCTGCATGCTGTAGTGGTCGCCAGCCCCCCTTCCTATTTTGCTGTCTAATGAGTTAGAAGATGATGATGATGAAGATAGACTGCTCTGGAGGGATCCACACTTGAACTCTACCATTTCCTCACGCATAACCACCACTGTGGATTTGACCTGCGGCTGGGCACCGCTGAACCGGTTCAACCCCCCGTTGGTCTGCGAGTACGTGTTGCTCACAGCAGGTAGTTTATCGGTCTGAATGCCACTTGTCACCTTGTACCGCACCATGAGGATGATGATGAACACCAGCAGCGTGGCCACGATGATGCCGCCGATGACTAGGATCATGGTGCCACCCAGGAAGCCACTGTGGAGAGACTGGCACTGCGGGTAGTCCTCCGTGGTTATGAACTGGACACAGCCGACAATGTTGGTGGCAGTTAGGGTGGTGGCGGTGTCATCCCAGATGGCCAAGACACACAAGTCATACTGCATTCCTGGGACAAGATTTGTGACTATGAAGGCTCTGTTAGTCGTGGGAATCATCCTGACAAGACACAAAAAGATACAGCATGAAAAATACAGACCTCTTGCTGTGGAAGTGCAAGGGTAGAAGACTTTGAAATTTGAATGAAACACTGGCATGGTTCGTTATACAAGAGCAGATCAAAGGAATTGCCAAAATGAAGCAGGCTAAGTAGCTATTTATATGCACAGAGTAATTCAGAAAGATGACTTCATTGGTCCCAGTGTATCCCATTTGACATGCATGAGGCAAAAGCAATGAGATAAGTATTCAATGGTGACTTTTTGAACATTGTTTTGGCTAAATGTAAACTATTGTATGTTCCATTTAACAAGCATTCATTTGTTTCAACTCAATCTGTTACAATGTCAGATGTTTAAATATTACTGAATACTAAGCCTCGCTGCTTTTGACTGAAATGAACGTCAATCTGCAGAAGATTAATTCTCTAAATTGTATTGCCAATCAATGCTATGCTGCATGAAACACTGAATTGTGTAGACAGCCAATGATAGAGGCCTTTTTCCAACAAATTAATCCTACTACACAGACTGCAGTGACATACACATGTAACAAATCCCAAAAACAGTTATATTAACGTTTTTTTAGATAATTTCAGCAACTAAACTCATTAAAAAAGCTATTTGATTAATGCAGTTCGTGAACAACAGTGAAGTGTTATAAACCTTTCCAAAACAACTCAATCAAATCAGATTGAAACAGCGTTTGGATATCAAATGTATGTAAGCCCTTTGCAGACACTGTATACACAGTCCATTACTCTTGGAATTCCGTACATATTGGACAAATCTGATTTCCATTTTTGTTGAGTGCCAATGTTCAATGCCATTACAGGAAATGTGTGGAGGTTTGGTTGTTGGATGGGTCCGACTTTTGTCGTGGAAACAACTTAAAGCTAGCATTTTCCTTTGAATTAGCAGTACCCATATTGTACAAGTCGTGGCAATGCACATACTCGAACTGCGATGAACCAGAAACATTAAGGAAGCTGGAATAGGACTCTAAACATCTGTTCTCTGAGATCATTGCTATGTAGGCTACGAATGAATATAAACCGTGTTTCAGAGTCAACCACTTTGTATTAAAGCTTTGTTTCACATATTAAAAGCAAGAATATAAGAAAAGTTATTTTGGGGAATATACTCAGGAAGCATTTGGGCTGATCAAAAGTCCTACATTGTCATGGTAACAGCTGAAATACAGCAATAAGGCACATATCCAAACCTTAACCTTTAACGTGTTATAATGCATGCAATGTAATGCATTGTATAAAATCAGCAATTACAACTGATATCTATTTTAAACAGAGAGTGAACAGCAATTACAATGTATTTTGAGTTAAAAGTCTATAAACAATGCGTTATAATATGAGTGTTTATTACTATAATTCTACAGTTATATAGAATAGTCTTGAGTTTTATAGAAAGTGTTACCAGAAATGGAAATATGTAACCAAAATTCAAGAATACATGTTGGAAAGGTTTAGCATAACATGTAACGTAAAGTGGTAATACTGGTATTGCAAACTTGACAGAAAGGGCCTAAGCTAAAACAATGCCAAAGGGGCAGAGTAAATAAAAACATTTACTGAAGTATTGTATTTAAGGACATATTTAGGTACTTTTACCTTACCTGGTATCTCCATTTTGTGCTACCTCTTACTTTTACTTCACTACAATCGGGTAGAGATATTGTACTCTTTATTCAACATCTTTTTTTGAAAAGATTAGTAATGAGTTAATTTTCAGTTTCAAATTATTAGTACGAAAATACAATCGGTTAATGAATTATGATATACTATTGTGAATCAAAAATGTCTGGTATAAAATAAATTTCACTTGGTGGGTGGTATCAGTGGAGCAGATATTGAGCTTGGGTATATCTGAAGGAAGATGTTGGAAACCATTGCTATATAGCCTATTACTGAGACCACAAAACATGGAGTAGCAATCAATGGCTGTAACACACTGTGAGTAGACAATGGCCCTTATAGACTCTTCACCATATGTGTATCTGAAAATAGATTCCTCAGTCGTCTATAGATTATATTAGCTTGCCGTTCCCTTCCAGTACATGTATCCTCATCTTTGATCCCTCTGAATCGCAGGGAGCCCAGACATCAGAGGGGCTGCAGTCCATTATTCATCCATAATTGTATTTTTACATAACTAGGAAGAAGCTGTGTTGGCTCCCGTTTGAGAGAACTCATGCAATATTTCTCCTCCCCCACGTGGCTCTGATTGATTTTTAATCATGCCATTGCTTGAGTGCGGGCAGTACCCTGGGAAACTATGTCAGCCAACAAGTGGAGAGCAGTAGGTGTGCGTGTGCAAGTAATGAAGTCATATTGATGTTAATTCAAAGACAGTGGTGGCCTCTCTGTGCACGTAATCTTTTCCTTCCAGCTCCTAATTTGTTTTCTGACAAGCAAAAGTACTGCACAGCCGTTATTTTACAAGACCAGATAAATCCATTGCTTTCGGTCATTTTTCTACTGCATACTGTGTGTGGTGATTATGAAGTAGAAAAAACATTTTAAACAGCGAATCATGAGGGCAATTTGGAAGTATGAAATAAAGATTCTTGACTAACAACACCATCAGGAATGCTATTAAAATAATCACTTTGTTAAGGAAAATAATTCAGTACATATACCACACATATCAGTGGTATGTTTGCACATTAGATAAAATCCATGAAAAAAGAAAGATAAGTCATCTGACAATTCCATCACCGGGGGAAAAATATACTGCAAATTCATATTGTTCTCTTTTTTCTGGCATGACAATCTGGCACTGCAAGCAAGGAAATCAGATAAACACCTTATTATTGAATTCGCATGGATAGTGAGTTGCATTGACAGTTTTTGAACAAAGTAATATATTTCTTCAATATTGTGTACAGTTCTTATCTCATATTCCCAGCTAATAACCATACTTCTTTTATTTTCTCAATGATCTTTCATTAAATGGCTCTAGCTGGGATGCGCAGTGCAGGAAAATTACGTAGGACTACGGCACAGAGTATGTGAATTCATGAAGTGGTGCTAAAGAATTTAACATCCATTGTCAGTTAGTAAGGAAGAATGAAGCTGACAGGAAATTGCAGTACATGTTGACCACAACAGGCCAACAATTGTCCCTCCATTCTGATGCTGTGAATACCATTTGTATTAGTCTAAGGGTGGTCTTTGGCAAAGTCAGGAAAATATCTTAGAGCTGTCAGACAAATTGAATCCTTTAGGTTCGCAACAAGGATTCATCAAACATGTATCTATTTGTTTGTTCCTACTAGTGTTAATTTCGCTGACTAAAAAAAACGAAATATGTTTTCGACCTTTTTTTCCATGACTAAAACGAAACGATGATGAGACGGCACCGACGGCAGTAAACAATAACTGTAACGAAATCAACATGCAATATCGCTGACGAAAAGTGATGAGACGAAAATTCCGGTGCTGCGGCTGGGCAGCAGCTGTGTGTCTGTGCTGCTTGCGGCGGTACATTTGAAGTACACCGGGCAGCGGCACACTGTGCCGGAAATGTTACGATCCTGTCCGTCAAAATGACTGACAACGAAAAAGTATAATGCCACCATTGCTTGGGAGAAAGAAACAATGTGATATTTGGGCCAATTTTTGCTACAATGAGGCTGAGAAAAAAAGCGAATGCATTGTTTTATCAGAAGGGAAGCAATGTGGCCATAACACAGCTGGTAAAAACACCACAAACCTGACCAGATACTCTCTGCAAAGCTTCTTAATCATTCAACCTGTGTTTTTCATCAAATAAGGACAAGATATAATCTTATTGTGAAATAAGTTTCACTAAAATGACAAATTATTGGTTTTGGCTAGACCAGTTTGACTGAAATGTTCTATATAATCTGATGACTAAAAAAGACTCAACAGTTTTCAATGACCGAAAGTAGACTAAAACAATTAGTTTTATTTGACTAACATAAGACTAAAATGCTCAGACTTTTACAGTAGTCGACTAAAACTTGACTAAATAAAAACAGGATGAAGGTGACTAAAACTAAAAAGGAAATTTAACACAGGACTAAGACTAAAACTAAATTAAAAAATAGCTGACGAAATTAACACTAGTTCCTACAGCAAAGTGTGGCATCTTTTTTTCTTTCCCAAAATGATTTAATGTTTTACAACGAGGCTCTTTTCTATATTTCCAACTTGATTATAATGATGGAAAGTCTCTCCTTTGACATAAGAAAAGTGATTTCACAGAGCACGAAGATCTCCAAACTTTCACTTTATGGACTTGAGCACCTTAAGAAAGATGCATCAAAATGAGGGTCCTTAATCTTTTTTCTTCTTGGATTTCTAATGAATAGTTCACGGCAAAGGATTACACTTTGGACTTCAATGATCTTTAAAGCACCCGGTATCACGGCAAGACGTGAACATGTGACGATTTACCATGCTGGGATTTCGTCCCTTCAAACGTGACAGTTACTCGGTATTGTTAACCAGTGCAGAAATACCCGGAAATGCCAAGCAAATGCTAACACAACGGTCGGTTGTCGGTTGTTGTCAATATTAATATAATAATGATTTATTTTTTAATAGTCACATTCGATTTCGCCAATTTTCTTGTTGCCCCAGCTGGTCGACACCTCTTTTAGCAGAAACAAAGGCTGCATTAATGTATTAAAGCGATGTTAATCCATGTGTGTGGATGTGGAATTAACGGACGTGACGTTGTGCGATTGCGTTGCCAGGCAACAGCTTCGGTTCATGTTAATTTACAAACTCTTCAACTACAACCGTGGTTATATTTAAAAGCATTTTAAAAGGCCTCACGAAATACTTTCATGTAAATTTAAATGTGAAGGAATGTGTGTATAACAAAATACATCCGTCATAAACGATACCGGACACAGACGTAGGCAAGATCCTCAGCTCGATGATTGGATGGTTTAGCCGCAATGCATGCTTGGATATGGTGTTTATCCATTTAAAAAAAAAAAAAATAATAATACTTTATTCCGAGTGTGCTTGTTTTTCTCTTTGAAAGTCATCACATAACGGAATTGTAATACACGGTTCGGCTGCATTAAATATTACACATCTGCCGTAATTCTCTAATTATAGAGCCCTGCTGGGAAGACTTCTAGACAAACAGGAAGAACTGCCGCAAAAACTGAAAACGTGGATCATAAATATATCAGCAATTAAACAACATCTTACATTTATTTTCACACAATACGTCTCCTTGCAGTATCAACACTAATTCGGCTGACTTTTATATTTGATCCAATTGGTAGATAGGCTGTATTTACACCATAAAGGTGCACAGCTGATATAAAGGGACACCTGGTGGTTGAAGCACGTTATTGAATTTTATTATTTTATTATTAGATATTAATAGGATCCCTATAAAGTATATTCATTACTCGTTATTCTCTAGTTAATTAATAGTTAATTAAAGACTGTATATAAAGACTATTTTGCACATCCCTTTCAAGATTTCAAGATTTTCCAAGGTTTATTGACATATCATATTTACAACTACGGTGTAGTTATGCAATGAATGAAAAACTTGGGTCGCAGGTTCCTCAACAGTGCATTACAAGACATCTATCAATATGTGTGTATACCTCCACCATTAAACTGTCATTCTGCACATTTCTTATACTATCTACATACATCTTATAAGAGTATAATACATATGTATAATATCAGTTAAAATAAGTGCTTCAACATAGTTAACATTGCAGGAAAGCAATATATTAGACGTTAAGTACTTTGTCAGGCTTAATATAAAAGTCAGCTGAATTAGTGTTGATAATGCAAGGAGACGTATTGTGTGAATAGAAATGTAAGATGTTGTTTAATTGCTTATATATTTTATGATCCACGTCACGTTTTCAGTTTTGGCGGCAGTTCTCCTGTTTGTCTAGAAGTCTTCTCATCAGGGCTCTATAAATAGAGAATTACGGCAGATATGTCATATTTAATGCAACCGAACCGTGTATTACAATGCCGTTATGTGATGACTTTCAAAGAGAAAAGCAAGCACACTCGGAATAAAGTATCATTATTATTTTTTTTAAAATTGGATTTCACATCGCATAAACACCATATCCCAGCGTGCATTGCGGCTAAACCATCCAATCATCGAGCTTAGGATCTTGCCTACGTCTGTTTCCGGTATCGTTTATGACGGATGTATTTTGTTGTACACACATTCCTTCACATTTAAATTTAAATTTGCATTAAAGTATTTCGTGAGGCCTTCTAACATGTTTTTAAATATAACTACGGTTGTAGTTGAAGAGTTTGTAAATTAACATGAACCGAAGCTGTTGCCTGGCAACGCAATCGCACAACGTCACGTCCGTTAATTCCACATCCACACGCATGGATTAACATCGATTTAATACATTAATGTAGCCTTTGTTTCTGCTAAAAGAGGTGTTGACCAGCTGGGGCAACAAGAAAATCGGTGAAATCGAGTGTGACTATTAAAAAATAAATCATTATTATATTAATATTGCCATTACATTACATTACATTACATTGCATTTAGCTGACGCTTTTATCCAAAGCGACTTACAATAAGTGCGTTCGACCAACAAAATACAAACTTGAAGAAAACAGAATCATATAAGTACATCAGGCTTCATAGAGCTAAAACATTTCAAGTGCTACTCAACTGGCTTTAGATAAGCCAGTCCTTTATTAGTATATAAGTGCTTTGTTAATAGTTCTATCGCTCGAAGTGGAGTCGAAAGAGATGAGTTTTCAGTCTGCGCCGGAAGGTGTGTAAGCTATCTGCTGTCCTGATGTCAATGGGGAGCTCATTCCACCATTTAGGAGCCAGGATAGCAAACCCACGTGTTTTTGCTGATGGGAACTTGGGTCCCCTTCGCAGCGAGGGTGCAGCGAGCCGTTTGGTTGATGCAGAGCGGAGTGCACGTGCTGGGGTGTACGGTTTATTGACAATAACAACCGACCGTCGGGGTAGCATTTGCTTGGCTTTTCCGGGTATTTCTCCACTGGTTAACATGGGTTAACAATACCGTGTAACTGTCACGTTTGAAGGGACGAAATCGTGACATCTTCACGTCTCCCAGCATGGTACATCGTCACATGTTCACGTCTTGCCGTGATACCGGTTTGCTTAAAAGTGTGCAATTTCTTCATTCAAGAGGAAACATTTTTTATGTATATCTTGCAGTAACAAACATTGACGTGAGTACTCAGCAACAATTAGCAAGTGTGGATCCCAATTAGACTGAAGAGGCTTAAAATAAAATGATTGAAGTTAAAGATTATACCTCAGGCTTAATTAACCACTCTGACCAGAAATGCCTCGGCTCAAGTAATGGAGTTTCACAAAGCATTCTTACCTGTAAATAAGGACTTCATCCTCAGAACAATTGTACTGAAGCTGATACATTTTGACCTTTGGAGTTGATTTGCTAACAGTCCACTTGACCAGTGCAGAGATGGCAGTCACTTCTGATGCAGAAACGACCTTCTCTGGTAGAGGTTTAGGCTCCCCTTTACTGATCTTGGTAGAACTGGTTATATCTGAAAGCCCTGACTTGGACTGTGTGGTACGGTTTGTACCATTACTCAGATGGGGGAGTTGAATGATTGACAGTTCAATGGAGGCCGTAGATTCCCCTGCAGCGTTGGCAGCTATGCAGGTAAAAATCCCGTAATCATTGGATGTGGTGATTAAAATGTCCAGGGTGCCATTTTCGTATACTGTTGCTCGGGAGGAGTTGCTGATCAAACGATCATCAGGAGCAACCCAATGCACAGTTGGCATCGGATCCCCGACTGCTTTGCAGCGCAGGCTAGCCGTTTGGCCTTCAAGCACTAGTAATTTATGTGTGTGTTGCGTGATCAGAGGGGGCTCGCAAACAAACTCCTCCTCACGAACAGACCAAAAGTAGCGCCCCTTTAGACTATTAGGAGATGCACAAGTTTCCATATCATCGTCCCGCTCTAGCCTTCGAAGCCAAAGCACTTCACAGTTGCAGTGCAATGGATTTCCTCCAAAGCTTAGAGAGAGCGGAGGTGCATAAGGAGTGCTCATCACTACATTGCTTTGTGAGCGCCCAAAGATGGGGTCTGGAGGGAGCTTCTGGAGACGGTTGGAGGTGAGGTCCAATCGGGCCAGTTTATCCAGATCTGTAAAAGTCCCCTCAGAAATGTACAATATGAGGTTATGATCCAGACTTATCTGATGGAGGTTAACCATCTTGCGGATGGCTTCCCAAGGCACATTGCGCAAGTTGTTATACGACAAATCCAGATCTTCCATTGTTGATAACGAGTCGTCAAAGGCTGTGTCAGCTATCTGTTTCAGCTGGTTGTTGTTGAGGATCAGGTGCTGCAGGTTGGCCAGTCCTCGGAGGTCGTCGGGTCCCAGCTCAGTCAACCTGTTACTGTCGAGATGAAGGGATCTTAGGGTCTCCAGGTCGATGAAAGAGAAAGGCTGGATGGTGCTGATGGTGTTACGGGACAAGGTGAGATCAACAAGACCCGTCATGTTGACAAAGTCCAGGGTGGTGACCTTGAGGATGAAGTTGCCGCCCAGCCGGAGCTCCACAGTTCGCCGGTCAATGTCTGGCGGGACAAAGAGCAAGCCTTTGGAGGGGCACAGAGTCCCTAGAGACTCTGAGAGGTTCTGGCAGACACAGTATTTTGGACATGCATGGACCATCGTTACTGCGGTTCCCAGAAGCAGGAGACTGATGACCACTTTGTCCATGTTAGTTCACAGAAAGGGACCTGCAAAAATGAGAAAAATAAAGAGACACATTTTTAGATAATGATCAGCTAAGATAAACTGTTCACACTTTACTTCATCTTATAGTTTAATCAAAACATCAATAACATCACACTTATGCATCCATCATTGTGTGTGTGTTTATGTGAAGGACCTATTAACACAGTTAAAATACAATTCCACCATGACCTTTGGACCACGGAAGCAAATATTTCTCAGATCTATCAATCATCTTTGAGGATTTTCTACATTAATATCCTTCATGTATTTTGCAATGCAAATAATGTGTGAGAAATCACATGAGGATTCTCTGAATAAGCCAGCTAAGAAGGCATTTTTAATGACGCACATACCTATAAGCTGTCAATACAGATAGGGTGTTATGCATGCAATGGAAATTAGATAAAGTGGGGCAAGTGAATGTATATGCTGTAAGCCATGGATGAGTTCTGGTCTGTGTGTTAACTGACGGAATATGTTTTCAACCTTTGCCTTATTAGTACCCTTTTCCTATCATATCTGTACCATTCAGACACATTGTATGCAATATTCCAAAATCTTTTTAACAGAACCTCACACCTGACTGGATGGCCAAACTTGGCTTCATCCAACGGTCTTTAAATCCCCGCAGATAGTTGTATCATTCATTCCTAATACACTAAAATCAATTTAAATTTGTTTTACATGAGCAACATTAATGGACAACTCTGCCTTCTAGTCTTTCTCACTAGAACCAAAGGGAGGCACAATTGTAATATTCGTATGTTAACTACATGCTATTATTTATCATTATTCATGTGTGTGAGAGGAGTCGCAGTATATGGCCTATTCATCTTAACTAAGTTGTTACAACCCTTTAATGTGTTTTCTCTACTTTTCATTACTCATAATTACAATAGGAAAAATGCATAAATAACCCTTCCTCTCCTTGATTCAAGTAGTAGTTGTATTGTGGAGTGCCACTGCATATGGTCTGTGTATTACACAGATAATGAGAAGGAAATTGATATGGAAAAAAAAGTGATTCATGGAGTCTGAATGCCTGAAGAAATTAATGTATATCAGACATAAAACAGTCTGTTCATATGTTTCACCACATTTACAATATAAGACCAAGTTAACATTTTACAATCATGTACTATTATTTGATTTGTTCTTAATAAAAAAAATACTCAGCCAAATAATAAACAGAAAGGCATTTTAAACATTTTAAAATAAAAAAATGGGAAAATATAAGCAAATAAGTCTTACAAGACTTTTGTGACAGTAGATTTAGCCAAGCTGCTATGATGTGGACACATTTAATGTTGCTTCAAATATGCATGTTTAAGAGCTAGACTTTCAGCATCTTAACAGCATCTGTGGGAACGAGTGGTTATTAAGATAATGGTACTTAAATGAAGTGTAACAGTAGCAGAACTAAAGTGGACAGACAAAGCCATCTCAGTGATGTCAATGACACGGAAGAATCCAAGATGTGCTAACATTAGCTACAATGCTAGACCAAGAGAAATTGCAGCTTTAAACCCCCAGAGTGTATTAAGGGGAGCAACATGTTGTATCTGCCCATTAAGCATTGTCTCTCTTCTTTAACAAGCCCACATAACGTTTGCTAGCTATGTCTAGTGATTTAAGCTGTTTTAGCAAGCTTGGCATGTTAGCTTATTGTGGTGATAGCAAATGACTAGCCTATCAAAACTCAGTGCAACAATGAGCTATGTAATCTCTGCACTCTGTTTTTTTGGTGATTCAGATCACCATACAGAAAGATGGGATATATTACTCTCAAATTATATTACTTTACCAAAAATATTAGTAGTGTGAATTCACTCCATCTATGGAACACTAATCTTAGGGAAGCTGTAACTAATGCCTAGAATTTCAACCAAAAAGCTAACTGAATTATACAGATTTCTCAGTAAAAATATGCTTTTGTTTGACCCATTAAATTAGCTTTTTTTTTTTGGAATATATATCCTTTATTTAACCAGGTAAAAGACTCATTGAGATTAAAATCTCTTTTCCAAGAGTGACCTGAAGGGCAGCATGTACGAAGTTACAACAGATAAAACACAGACAAGACAGGCAGACGAATACAGCTGTAAAACACAAATAAAATGGCACATTAGCCAGTCAATATGCGAAGTAAAACAAAGTATTAAAAATCATTAAAAACTGGCAAGATTTAAAACGATTTTAGGATATACGAGCACTCACATCTACCAATGGTGCCGTGTTCTCTGTCCTTTAAGATGGACCTGAATTCCCCCATGGTGATTACATCTGAGCATTCAATCAGCACTCCAGTGAACTGTGTGAAAAAGGTGTTTATTTGAGCAAAATAATTGCAAATCTAATGCTGTTCTGACTCTCTCAGCACTCTGGAGCTAATTCCCACAAGGCCTCATGGTGAGAGCTGTCAGTGAAGAGAGACAGTTTCTCTCATGAACTAATTTGAATGGACAGCATTGAGAAACAGCAACTGAAAACCCATGAAAACCCACAGAACCTGACTCGCTCATTTTCTTTTGATCTTGCTTTCCACTGAAAATAGCCAATTGTGGTGGGTAAGCCTTTTCAAAAACTGGGGGAAATATACACATTTGCAGAGATGCTCATAATGCTATGTGGGTGCAGTTGAACAATTCTGTATAATTTTCATTCCGCACTTCCCATTAGGGTGTGTGCAATATGTGGAGAGTATTTAGATGATGGGTAAAGCAAGCCAGGCGCATAGGGGAGGCAGAGGTGACCTTTTAAGGATAGTAGTCACAAAGAGACGAGAACCACGGATGTTTGAGGTCCACATCCATTTACTCGTGGCCTTTACCAAGCCAGCAACACCGTCTACAATTCAATTCAAGCGACAAAGAAACTGGAAATACCAACAAGGCCACATTATAGAATGTTCCACAGGGCATAGCATTATACAACCTGTGAAATCCATTATTAACCTTGTTGTGACCCTGGATTCTTTGGTGATTAAAGCACTCTTTGTATCTCTTCTATGAATAAAATATATTTATATAGCTTAGCAACTGTAACTAGGGTGATTGTTGTATGATACTTGAGACAAAAGATTTTGGTGTCATTTTTTACAATTCACAGTTTTAAATCCTTAAAGAGTCAATTGATGTGCATTGTCCCGCATTGTCCCTTCTTAACACACTTTTTAAATAAAAAATACACTGCGTTCGGGCTGCTTCACATTGTTATGTCATCCTCTTAGTCATATCACACCAGGATATGTGTTTGCCTGCCCAAATTAAGTTTATTATGTCATTTTTCATTCATATTTGTATTTGTATAGACCTTTTTGTGTGGCGATAGCTAAGTCATGTTGTGCTGGAATTTTCACAACCTGGTCATTTTGGGCGAGTTGGTACCTGAAATATGAGAGTTTAAAGGTTACATTATCACCTTTAGCCAAAGTTAGACTAGAACAAGTATTTTTCTCAATCTACAGAGGAAGTCCTTAACCTACAGTAAAGTCTTATTTACTTGTAAACGAGAAAATTCAAAGCATTAATCAAAGATTTTCAAGCTAACGATCGAAGCTTAGCTTTTTTACTTTAGCAAGCTCAAGCTTTAAACAGGGATTGTCTTAGAACAAAACCAGTGAGGTAGATTTTTCCCTATTATATATCTAACAATGTAACAAGGACAATTACCTATTGAGCTGTACAGTACCTGTATGAAAACATCTAATGAACCTTTCACAGACAGTGTTTTCAAGTAACTTATAGCGTAAGTTTGCTAGCTGTAGTTTAGAGATTGACAGTCATGATTTCACCCATTTGAAATTGATGAAATGAGAATCCTTTTTTTCTCTCTTCTGTCTGAACGCAAAGACCCATTGCTGAAATAAATGCATTAAACTAAGAATGTTGATGTTTTATTCTTTTCCTCTGTAATTGATAAAAAGATACACCATGCAGAATGGAAAGACAGATGGAAGTAACTTACTTTGGCAATAGTCTATTAACAGTAATACGAACTCAGAGGAAGCGTCTATAGTGGAATATTATAATTCAGTTGCAGGTAAGGAAACTACAAAGACTGCAGCTAGTGTTTGTACATGCATTGGCAGTTACTTTAACACATTTTTCACTCACTTTTGAGAACCAACAAACTTTGGTTGAACTGAAATGTGTTTATGCAGCCGTTCTTTAATTGTACATGATTGTGCAGAGACTGGTTCTAAAAGGCATCCAGCGCAGACTGCAAATTACTCCATTACTTCTGCTTTCATGCACTCGTGAAATGAAATGTGCTGCTGTTGCCTCTGTGAATGTTAAAGGACATCGCTTTATCAGCTGAACAGGAATTTCTTGTTTAAAAAAAAAAAAAGAAAGTACAACATTGGACATTTAGAACAGCAAATGCAGTTTAAAAGGTTTTTAAATTGGCCATTGGTTTAATAGCTTTTGGTTGTGTCAGCTGTGCTAGCATCAATCAAACGCTAATATAGAAAAAAGTAAACAGACATGAAAAGGCATAGGTGGGAAAGCTACTTATTTATCATTAGGTATTGTCAAATCTCTACATGCTGCTCTCCACATTATTCTCTTGAAAAATAAATACATATTATGTGGAGAAACTCTCAATTATTCTGATACATTTACTGAACTGATTTCCTTTGAGAACAAAACCTTGAAAAAATGGTCTACAGTTGGCAAGTACATTTTCTTCCAAACTTTAAACATGAAGTGCTGTGAAACATACAAGAAATGTTCAAACAGTGTTTTCCGAGTGTTTTTGTTCTTCTATGAAGACTGGTTTATGTAGGTTGAACTTTAAAGAAATGGTTTGCCATTCAAACAAATCCAGGATTCAATGTATTGTACTTTGTCCTTTGGTCCTTAAATGAATAGATTTATATTGTGGTAGCAGCAGACTAGCTATTTTTCCTGCTTCAAGGCTTTTTGCCAAGCTCAGCTTTTATGATGTATATACAAGGATGGATTGTAACTTATCTACGAGTTATTGGGGAAAGAAACAG